TTGTAAATTATAACTCTTCAAATACACCATGACATTTTAAATATCCTTTACTAAAATAGCAAATTAGTCAAGAACTTCCATGACAATCTGATTATATCCCTTCAGTCTTAGTTATTAAAGAGATTGTATGACCCTGACATCACACATGCAAAATTCTACCACAGTTAATTTTCCACGTTATAATTAAAAATTGAATACATAAAATGCCATATTTTTAAACTAATAGGATTATTATATTAATAAACTATGCTTGATGTATTATATTAAATTCTGGCTATCACAATTTGGAGGAATATTAACAAAACAGAAAATGTCTAGATCTAAGAAACCAATTAAAGAGTAATGTGAAAATCCATCTTTTGCAGAAAGCTGAAGAAACTAGGATTATTTAACTTAGAGATGAAAAGGTTACATAGAAAAGCACAAATATTTATTCATCCTAAACTCACCGCTGCTTTACTGAACATTTCAGTAGGTGCTGTTCAAGGGTCTAAAGGCACCATGGTAACCTGGACAGATAAGTTCCTACTCTTATGGATCCTGCACCCAGAATGGGAGAAGATGGTGATAAGAAGTAAATGACCTCTACAGGGCAAGGATTTCCTTTTGTTCTGCTCACTTTGGTATTCCCAGTATTTAGTGGGTACTCAACAAATACTGGTGGAATTAGTCAAAAAAGGTTAATATCAGCTAGGGCAGTGGTTCTCAATCTTCCTAATGCCACGGCTCTTTAATACAGCTCCTGTGGGTCACGACCCACAGGTTGAGAACCACTGAGCTAGGGGAAAGTGCTATGCAGAAAACAAAAGAGCAGTAATATAGGAAATAGCATGAAAATAGTAAAAATGTTTTCTGTCTCTTTAAAAACTCTCCCACTCTTTTTTGGGAATTGAACCTGCATCCCTGCCTCAGGCCAGTGGTTGGGAGGGACAGGGGATGTCCTTTGATCTTTGTACCACTGGAGTTGGCTCAACTGGAAATATCCGGACAGAAGTTATAAGACTGACTTCTCTGGAGATAGGATGGATCAGAATTGTAGTTAAACAACAATATCCCGAAGCTGAAAACCCTCCCTTTAAAAGCTCTGTATAACTGCACGATTAGGACAATGGTACTTTAAGGCAGTAGTACCCTTCTCACCATTTGCAGACCAATGAATAAATTCCCTTTCCTTCTCCTCAGACCTCCTTCTGATGTGGGTTTGGAGATAAGTGGCAAGCTTTTGGTAACAAGTAGAGAATAATGGAGGAAGAGGCAAATATATTATGACAGATCAGAAAGCCAGAAAAAGCTTGTTTAAGGAGATGCTGTTAGAACTTAAGACTTAATAACTAAAGTCAGGGGCACTTGCCTGAGATAAGAATGGTTTGACGTTCACACAGAAGACCAGTGTGAGCAAGCCACAGGGTCACAGTAAAGAGTTCAGATTCTACTTAAATTGTTTAGGCAAAATATGCTGGTGGCTTCAAAGGAGGTAAAAACAGTGGAAATGAAGATAGTAGGTAACTTTATACTTTGGAGGTGAGGAGCAGACAAGATTTGTCAATAGGTTTGTTATGTGACACAAGGCCAACTGATGTATTAAGAATGACTTCCAGATCTAGGGTGTGAACAATGGCAATGATATTGCTACTTACTGAAATGGGAAAATCAGGTGAGGATAAGGTTCTAAGCAGGGAGTAGAGAAAGGAGACAAGTTTTACAACTAATATAATTAGGATTTCAAGTACCAGATGGATATTTCAATTTGAAGTTAATAACATGAATTGAGGTAGAGAATTTTTAGTTTGGAAGTTCTTCACATGGACATATTATTCAAAGACATAGGTCTAAAGAGTTATCAGGAAAAAAGGGGACGAGATGATGATTCCATCCATCTCCAGGGGGAAAAGCAAATAATTAAAGAAATATTAAAGTGAGATAAGCATAGTCTGCAAGAGATAGGACAGACTAAGAATCTAACCAGAACAGTAAGAGACTGGACTACTTGCATACATTATAGGCTTTCCACAACAGAGGCATTTCAAGTACAGAAGAAAGGGTAAATGATCATCTGTAGAATTTTTACTGAAGTGATTCCTATAAGGCATAAGAGTTTCCTGAAATGTCCTTCCATGGTACTATTTAGAGAGACTGTTAAGACTTTCCAATTTACTTGATATAATTTATTTAGTTAATAAGTGGATTCCAGCATATAAATCACTGGTATATAAAACATATGTCTGCTAGTTGCCATTAATTGTTACCTGTTTTTGTTAGCAAAAGGTTATCCAGGTGCCTGTCTCCAACTCCAAGTATATACGTAATGACGCAATATCCAGCTGCAATAACAGAACAGAAACTGTGAAAAACACATGAAAACCCAGTTCCATTATTTCACTGCATATAAAAGAGTCTGTGCTATTTTAATTTCAGTTTGCTTCCTATTGCCTTTGATGTCTTATTTAAAATCTCAGATTTACAAACGTCTTTGACTCTATGAAGAGTCTATCGCTTGAAACTCAAAAGAAATTACTATTTGCAACAGAAAAAACATCTTGTAGAATTTTGTTAAATTATAAAATTCACTTGTATTAGAAACCAATTTAGGTTTCAGGAACTTTAATTATAACATGTGTCTCCTATTTCTAATTTTGAATTGGATACATGTTAAAGATAACATTGACAAAGAAGTATTATGCTGGGCACCCTGGGCATTGCTCATGCCTGTAATCCCACCACTCTGGGAGGCCAAGGTGGGTGGGCTGCCTGAGGTCATAGGTTCAAGATCAGCCTGAGCAAGAAGTGAGACCCATCTCTAAAAATAGCTGGGCATTGCAGCGAGTATCTGTAGTCCCAGCTACTTGGGAGGCTGAGGCAAGAGAATCACTTGAGCACTAGAGTTTGAGGTTGCTGTGAGCTATGATGCCATAGCACTTTACTAAGGGTGACAAAGTGAGATTCTGTCTCAAAAAAAAAAGAAAAGAAAAAGAAGTCTTTATAGAAGTACACATAATAAAGTCAACTATCAACCCTCCCATAACCCATAACTGTGTTATCAATAAGATAACAGAAGTATATGAGAATTAAAACAAAAACAAAAGTCTATATAGAGAAACAATCTTGACATGGTAGCACCTAGAAAATCAAATGTATTTGAATGGAAAAGATAATTATGAACATCATATAATCATCTTCTAAAGTATTATGAAAAATTATATGGTCAAGGCTAGAGGCAGAGTTATTGGTTCTAGTTTTATGCTCTTTTATCTTTCTTTTCTAAAAAAGTCTGAAAACCTAGCATTTATTGAATCTACAAAACAGAATTTAGCAAATAGCAACTTCTTATAGCTCTTCTTCCCACTATGTATATTTCTCCCATTAGTAAACTGACAACAAATATAATATGCAAACATGCAAAAGTATATGTTTACAAAACCATGTTTATTTCAGCCCATATGTAGAAACAAGATTGGACTACCTGTTAATAATCAAATTAACCCTGTTCAAATTCAACAAACATTAAAGTTCATTTAACTCAGGTTCTGCAGACCACTGCACAAATCCAAAAGGAAGGTGAGCAACAGTATGCATCATCATTAGACAAATCATTAATTAGTTAATAATAATCAGTTACAATGTACCAAAGACTAGGCTCTTAGCTGGCATCTTACATTCATCATCTCTCGCCCCTTTAATGACAACAGTTAAATATTATAATCATTCTTCAAATGAGACACCTCAGGCTCCAAGAATTAATCAGATTGTCCAAGCTCACTGGGCTAAGGTGTGCATCTAATGTGAAATGTAAGAAAATATAGTTGCATGGAAAGCACTTTTGAAGAGGGGGCTGATTCAGTGGGGTGATTAACTCATTAGGTCTTTTCTCCTTCCTGGCTATGAGGCAAACATGATAGGTGCAGCTGCCGCAGTGTTTGGGAGCATGAGGAAAAGGCCAGGAGAACCACAAAGACTTTGCTGGCCCTAACTACCTTAAGCAGCTAAACAACAGCAATTCCAAATACCTGGTCTTGTTACAAGAAGAAACTCTGGCATGTTTAAGCCACTATTGATAGATTATATTAAATGCAGCTGAGGGAAATTGTTAACACATTTAGTGGTCCACTGGGGAGGACTTAAGCGGTACCTAGAAGAGAGCAGAAGTAGAGCAAACTACACCATACTGGAGGACCAATTTTGCCCCCTTCAGTTTCCATAAAGTTTACTGGAACACATATATGTAAGTTTACTTACATATCATCTTGAGCACTACATGTAGTATATACATCTTCAAATTGGTTTTATAACAACTTTGACTTAAAGTCAAATGTAGAGAAAAACATATATGATCCTGTTTCCCTTCACTTAATAAAGATATGTGAGAATAATTAGTACTATGTATTCCCACATTTACTTGGATGATATAATCTTGACACCTTGCATAATCTATAAAAATGTCCCCAAACTATCATCACTTTCTTCTTCTAACACCCTACCAAGAAAACCAAAATGTTACTTCTTTTTTTTTTTTTTTTGAGCCAGAGTCTCACTTCGTCACCCACAGTATGAGTGCTGTGGCATCATAGCTCATAGCAACCTCAAACTCCTGGGCTCTTGCCTCAGCCTCCCAAGTAGCTGGGACTATAGGCGCTCACCACAATGCCCGGCTATCTTTTTTAGAGACAGGGTCTTGCTCTGGGAATCTACCTGCCTTGGTCTCACAGACTGCTGGGATTATAGGCAATCTACCATGCCCAGCCTCAAAATGTTACTTTCTAAAATGAAAGTTACATAAAAATGTATATGACAATGTCTAACAATCAAGATTCTAGCTCAAAAGAACAACTTTATTAAGTACCGAATCTTTTAATGAAAAACTCAAATAATCACTTTCATCCTCCAACTCACAAAAACATAACAGATTATTTGATAACACAGCAAGACACACAGAACAAAAGGAGGCTATTCATGATGAGGGGAAGGCCTGCGACCAAATCAGTTACTGAGGGATGAATAAATGTGTAATGTTGGGAAACGAGAGGGGAGTAAGATCTAATTTGAATTTAACTGCCCAGTAGGTATGATAATTTAAATTTCTACTTCTTTTCCACATGAAAAAGCCAGTCATATTTTCAATAGCTTTTGGGGAAAAATGGACCGTTATATAAAAAGACATGATGCTATGACACTTAAGCATATACCTGTAATATAGTGTTCTGATAATTTTACTAAGGGAACAGGATTTTCAAATTTTAGTCAATATTTATAGAATATGTGTAAATAGGTATTTCAAGTGGAAAAAGTTAAAATTCCTTTATTAGACTGATTTGTCAACCAAAAAAGTTTATAGTAACTATTCTGAAAGTCATTTAAGGAGATGAAATACAATTATTTTAGAGTATACAAAATACTACATGTAATAATACTAGGTGTGATGTGACAAAGATGGCCAAACTTTCTTTCATATACTTTTCATCCAGAGGTTGGGTCTATATCTTTCCCTTGAATCCAGGCAGGCTCCATGACTGGTCTGATCAATAGAATAGGACAGAAGTGATACAGCACTGGCTTTCCAGATCAGGAATTCAGAAATGAACATTTTCCACTCCCTGTATTCTAGAATATGCTTACTCTTGGAACCTATCTCTGAGAAGTCCAAGCCACAGAGAGGCCATGTATGGGTGATCTACTGACAACCCAGCTAAAAGACAGTGTAAACTGCCAGGCAGGTGAGCGATCCATTTTGGGTGTTACGTCTAAATGCTTTGTAGTTTTTTTGTGAGGACAGGAAAACACAGACTTGAAGCTGTGAAAAAAACAGAAAAGAACAGAAATGGGGAAAAGAAGGAAAGCAGGAGGGAAAAGACAGAAAAGAGGTAGAAATACAGAGTCAGAAGGCAAGGGGAACCATTTTCTTTCAAGGGCTTCAATCAGAAATTTTTAGTCTTTAAATCTAAATACACTGGATGTGACCAAATTTAGCACTCTCAGTTATATGAAAGATGTTTATATTCTTACAGTAAAAATAAAAGTTAAAACTATAAAGGATTTTAATATATGTATATACAATATTTTATCAATGGTCTCAAAGTTCCTTTTCTTTATACAAACATTTATCATTAAGAATAAATTTGGGAATAAGTGATGAGGTCAAAAATAATGTGAAATACTACTTCACAAGAGTGTTGTGCAAACCAAAAATATCCTGTGCAAGAAAGCAGTGACTAAATCATAAAATAATATATACAAGCTAAAGTATAGTTCTAAAATGTCCAGAAAGCCCTCTTCTTGCTCCCCTGGCTCTGCCTGCTTAAAAACGGACACAAATATGAACATAAACAACCCCATGCAGGAACCCTCTTAACAGCACCATTATCTTAGCTCCTGAGTTGTATCCAAAGCACAATTATTTCTGACTGAGTTTCTCATGGCCTACATACTTGGAGTTACTCAAAAATAGGGATCATCCAGAGCAGTGGTTCTCAACTGTCCTAATGCCGTGACCCTTTAATACAGTTCCTCATGTTGTGGTGACCGCCAACCTATGGTTGGGGGTGACCACAACATGAGGAACTGTATTAAAGGGTGATGGTATTATTAAAGGGTTGCAGCATTAGGATGGTTGAGAACTACTGATGTAGAGAAAAATTAGCTTCTAGGAAAAGATACCTTGTAAATGTAAAATATTTCAGTGATTGCAAAGATAATTCATTAAAGACTAAATAGAATTTATACCTTGCTACTACTATTATGTCAAAGCATTAATGAGTCTTTTATCAATAATTTATCTTTTACTTTTCTCCTTACAGAGCATTTAAGTCTTAACATGTTTCAAATGTGTAAGCACATGGCACTATCAGGATGGCCTGCTTGTTTATACTGAAATGTATCAAAGAAAGAGCCTGAAAAACTTACCACAGCTTTTAACGTAAGTGTCCATGACTTCAGCACTAATCCCATTTGGCCCATTCTCACTTGGTGCATATTTTCTAAAAAAGTTCTGAAAAGACATCATTTATATGTTTAAGAATTGAAAACAGTCAAAAACACTTAGGTATTTTAAAATTACATATAATGACCAACAAGAATCTGATTTTAAAATTTGTAGAAATACAGTAAGAGAGCCAGTTGCAGGGGCTCCCACCTATCGTTTCAGTGTTTTGAGAGGCCACCACAGGAAGCTTTCTTCAGGCTAGGAGTATGAGACCAGCCTAGGTAATACAGCAAGGCCCCATCTCTTAAAAAAAAAAAAAAAGAAGAAGAAAAAGAAGAAATTATCCAGGTGTAGTATATGCTTATAGTCCTAGGTACTCAGGAGGCTGAGGTGGGAGGTCACGGTGAGCTATGATCAGAGCTACTATATTTCAGTCCGGGCAGCAAAGTGAGACCCTGTCTCCAAACAAATGAATATTTTTATATTTTTGTTTTAAATATTTTTCTTACATAGAGAAAAAGGAAAATTATATTTTAAAAATTACAAAATAAATCATTCAGATATGGTAAGAATTAATCCACATATTTTAAAGGTAAGAAAATTCCAAAGATACACACTGCTTTATCCTTTATTGTAAGGAACAATTCACCTTTTCTCATATTAAAGGGAGGCAAGAGATTGGAGGGAGAAGACAGGGTCTTAAAAAAATAAGTACACAAGGACTGTGCGGAGTGGTTCAAGCCCTTAATCCTAGCATTCTCCAGGCGGGGAGATTGCCTGTGGCGAGTGCCTGTAGTCCTAGCTACTTCAGAGGCTGAGGCAAGAAGACCACTTGAGCCCAAGAGTCTGAGGTTGCTGTGAGTTGTAACGCCATGACAAGCTACTAAGGGTAACAAAGTGAGACTCTTTACTTAAAAAAAAAAAAAAAAAAATTAATAAATAAAAACAATTGTACAAAAAGATATATGAGTAAGAATATCATTATAGCCCTGTTTTGCATTACAACAAAAATTGAAATAATCAAAATATTTACCATTTAAGAGTCAAATTACAGTATTTCTGTACTTTGAAAAATATTGTAGCCATAAACTAACAAATTTTTACTCTGTTTACCAATTAGCTCCTGATCTGCTATTATGTGTCATGTACAGAATATACTCATTCAAGGAAATGAGAATTTATATACATTAACACAGAGGAATTTCCCATTGTGAACAATGTTTTCTTCTGAAGAAAGGGGGGAAAACCTTAAGTAAAAAAGGATAATTAAAAAGGACTTTTATTCTTAACTCCATATACATTTTATAAAGAGTGACTTTTTAATATGAACATCTTTATGAATTTATCTTTAAAATGGATACTCTACCTGAATACTTCCCTCTGTATCAAGAACTTCAGCAACAGGAACTGACTGGATAAACTGCATGAAGCCTACACAGAAATGAAGGCACTGAGTCAAGCACAGATAATGGGCAGGAAATAAAAACAGAGGTTCTGCTAAGAGGCGTCTTCACCCATAACTGCATAAATACTCCACAAGTGAGTAACTTAAAAAGGTCTATGAATACTACATTACGTTTATACTAGCTTTTATGTCATACTAACTAAAAGAAAACATTTTTTTTTAAATTAAGCTGATTTAATCTCTGTGTTTCTCCAGGCTAATTTCTATTATTGAAACATGTAGGACACAAAGTCATAACTAAGTTTCTTAAATTTTGCATAAAAATTTTCTTCTTTCTGTGCTTTTATAACACACACCAATTAAAAACATTCCAAATTTAAAATCACTCTAAGAAAGCTGGGGCTGTCGAATACAATCTGCACACCCTACGTAATGGGTTTGAAATGTACGTAAGTCCAGCGATTCCTTTAGTCTAAGACTTTATTTTCTGTTATTTCTTAGAAATGATGTGAGAGGTAAGTATAAATCACTTAAACTAACAAAAAGAAATAAAAGGGGATACTAAATGGGAAAAATGAGAAAAAAGTTAATCTAGTAAATCTGAGGACAACATAGGAGGATAAAATAACAAACATATAGATATAGATATATAGACATATAAAGCTGAATGAAGGAAATGTTATTTCAGAATCATAAATAATCATGATCTGGTTAGGTGAGCCTTTCATTATAATTTTGAAGTAAATTATAAGATTGTATACCCTTTGAAGAAACATCTCATTTATTCTTATATCACAAATACAGGATAGTCTGTATTAATTCACTTAACAGGTATTTATTATTATTCTAATACGTAGCAAGAACTTTGCTAAGTAAGCAAAAATAAATGCTTGACCCATACATCATAAAGTTTGCAATTTCTATTGGGATAGATACTATGATTGAAAGGGGACTATGACAGGGAATAGTGTAGGAAGACTTGAGTTTTAGTAGGGATCAAAGGACATCTCACATGTGAGCCGTGTTTTTAAGCATAACAAAGTTAATAGGTAAAGCTATGGAGAAGCACATTGAAGCACATTTGCACTCTTAAAAGATCATTATGAGAGGAAAATAAAAAGAATTAGACCATCAAAAAGATTTGGTAGTGGCCAGGGAGAAGGACAGAAAAACGAAAACAGGTATTTTGTTTCTCCAACGTACCATACCTACTGGCATAAAGCTCTAAGAGTAATATGACTATGGGATTACAATAAGCATTTGGCAAGAATTCCTAGGGCATTTTCTGCTAAACTTTAAGAGATTATTCAATCTTAAAAAGACTGAGATGCATGAGGTTTGTGTATACACACACACTCACAAACTAAGTTGAAATATATAAAATAGGATTTAGTTGATACCATTTGCTGAATAGCTTTTAAAAACTGAACATAGCACAAAGCCTTTCTGGGTCTTAGAATTATAACTCAGGACACAGATTACCTTATAAGAAACTACTAATTTCCACTAGTTTGAATATTAAAAAAAATTATAAAAGTGTTAATTTTTTTCTGAATATGCTATTTTATGATGACAGGAGAGAGGGAGGGATGGGGAAGGAAGGAAGGAAGGAAGAGGAAGGAATAAAGGGAGGAAAGGAAGAAGAGGGAGGGAAGAGGGAGGGCAGCGGGTACGTAAGTAACTTCAATCTCTAACATTTTTAACAATTTCCAAATTAAAAAAGAGATACTTTACATCTTTCCTGGATGGATTTGGAGAACATTCTCCTAAGTAAAGTATTACAAGAATGGAAAAGCAATCATCCAATGTACTCAATAAGAATAGGAAACTAGTAGATGAACAACTACATGCACCCCCCCCCAAAAAAAACCATATTTAAATTCAACTAGGGTGGGCAGGAGGAGGGGGAGTTGGCAAATTCTCACCTAACGGGTACAATAGGACAGCACCTATGGCTCATAGGGCCATATATACCCATATACCTAGGGTGGTGCGTTCTAACCCAGCCCTGGCCAAACTGCAACAAAAAGTAGCCAGGCATTGTGGCAGGTGCCTGTAGTCCCTCCCAGCTACTCGGGAGGCTGAGGCAAGAGAATCGCCTAAGCCCAAGAGCTGGAGGTTGCTGTGAGCTATGATGGCATAGCACTCTACCACGGGCAACAGAGTGAGACTCTGTCTCTTAAAAAAAAAAAAATTAAATTAAATTAAAAGGGTACAATAAAGGGGTGTATACACCTCCTGGGTGAAGGGCTCATCTATAACTTGGACTTTACCTAATAAATACAAACAATGTAACCTAATCATTTGTATCCATACACTAATCTGAAATTTAAAAAAAAGAGAGAGACACATAATTATTGGACATTGATATAAGCAGTCATGATATAAAATAAACTTACCATGCTTTGTACTAGTGGCTAATACTTTATAAGGAGTCAATTTCAGATCCAGATTTTCTTTCCGTAACAGCTTTTGATCAAAAGATAAAATATTTTAACTAAATGTAAAGATTGTTAAAAGAGTTTTGTGAGCAAATATTATAAGAATTTAACATAATACAGATTTAGGAGGTAAATGTAAATTAACTAAATTGATTAACTTTTATCATCAAATTAAATTTATTAAGCACTTACATGACAGTATGCTAAATCTGTGATCTACTCTAATTCTGTCAGCAGTTTTAAATGAACAGTAAATGTTCCTCCTACTACTTATGCAGTATTTTCTGCACATAAAATATTTTGGAACTCAGAAAAAATGAAATAAGGGCAACATATTTTTAAAGCCAGGGTCAGGAATAGAAATTTAAATACAAATAAATAAATAAAATAGAGTAAGAAAAATCTTACTAAATCTGACACTGAGAGAACTCAATTTAGAAAACATTTTTTTTTTTTTTTTTTGAGACAGAGCCTCAAGCTGTCCCCTTGGGTAGAGTGCAGTGGCATCACAGCTCACAGCAACTTCCAACTCCTAGGCTCAAGTGAGTCTCTTGCATCAGCCTCCCAAGTAGCTAGGACCACAGGCACCTGCCACAACGCCCGGCTATTTTTTGGTTGCAGCCGTCATTGTTTGTTTGGCGGGCCTGGGCTGGACTCGAACCTGCCACCTTAGGTGTATGTGGCTGGTGCCTTAGCCACTTGAGCCAGAGGCGCCGAGCCTAGAAAACATTTTTTAATGGAATACATGTGGTTTCTTCTTATATTCATCATAGGAACCATTCTGAGTGTATAAAATGACTAATGTTTAAATGACCTTGTTCAAGGTCAAGTGGAAACTGTTGAACTTTGTAGGGTTATACTTGAATATTAGAAAAACTTCTACCTCTGTGAATGGCGTTATGTGCCAAACCATAGTTTTCTAAAATGAAATAATGTTCCATCACCATGAGGTTATTTTCACCTTGTCCATGAGTGAAATGATTTGAAGAATAAGTTGATCTTGGCGTAAATCATCTCCATGCTTAAATATAACTGGATATTTCCCTCCATCTTCTGTCTTAAAGAACAGCTGTGCAGGCATAAGGGCACTCTGAAAAATAAAAATACTATTTTCCAATTTGGATATAAATTAATGCACAAAGATTTACCATACACAGAAGAAAATGCTGATATAGACAATAAACACACAAGTAAATAGGACCTACAAAACCAAGTTGGGCTGTCAGTGAGATACATTAGGGCCCTGGAGAGAATAATGAGCTTGCCAATACTGGAAATTCACATGGCATCACATGGTGCAGAGAGCACAGCTCTGAAATCAGTCATGAATATGAATTTAGGCTCTGCCAGGTACTAAACAAATGATCTTGTACATATTTTTTAACTTGTTTCCTCACCTGCAAAATAAGGTTAATACCCTTTCTGCAGAGTTGTTAAGGCAATTGGAAATGGTATAGGTCAAGGGTCTGGCACCATGCCTGACACACAGCAGACATTCCCTATATGTCCATTATCATTATTCCTATTATTAGAGAAATACTGGAATAAATATGATGAAATAGTACAGCATAAAAATATACCAGATGAAAAGTCAAGATCACTGCTTTATAACTGCAGGAGTACTTGTTTGGGACCAAACGTATTTTGGATTTTGAACTTTCTCATGTTTTGGAATATTTACATATACGTATTGAGATATCCTAGAGATGGGGCCCAAATCTAAGCATGAAATTCATTTATTCAATATACATTTCACATAAATAGAATAGTAATTTTATACTATATATTTTAATAATTTTATATATGAAACAAGATATTGACTATATTTTGACTGTGACCTGACATTAAATCAGATGTGGAATATTCTACTTGTGGCATCATACCAGTGTTCAAAATATTTCAGAATTTGCAGCATTTTAGATTTTGTATTTTTGGTTTAGACATGCTTCATCTGCACCTGTTAGGCAGCTTTAAAACTCAAACTTCTCACTTATATAATGAAAAGAGATCTCAAATATCCATCTTTTATTCTGGAATAATTATACATTTTCCCTAGAATCTTTCCTTTAATTACACAAACCCTCTAAGTTAGTTTAAGTATATGTTTAAATCTAAACAAATTAAATTCTCTTTACAAGGAGGAAATTGTAGAGGACACCAAGAGACAGATGACCTCTAAGCAAGATGATTTACAGCTGAGGGGTGGACTCTGGGGCGACTTGTCCAGGACTAAGTTAGTTTCAGTCTATGTTTAAATCTAAAGAAATTAAATTCTCTTTACAAGGGGGAAATCATAAAAAAACACAAGCAAAACGGCGTGCTAAGAAGATCACTACTTGGGAAAGAGGCCCTATTGATTTGGATTACTGAGAAAAAATGACATAAGATGGGAATTCGGACAAATTTACAATGACCCCCCAAAAAAACCAAATAAGTCATACAGATTTTCAAAAATGATAATCTTAATTTGCATAAACCAAGGGAAATAATAGCATAGAAGGTATCACACAGAGGACTGAACAGACAGAGCAAACAGCAAAATGTGATAACAGGACTGAAGTAGTAAATACGCAGCTGTTTACTGTAAGATTCTTTCAACTTTGTTGTATGTTTGAAAACTTTCCTATAAAATGTTGGAAAAAAATACGTGAAAAATGCTTTAAAGAATATGTTTAGAACTTTTAAACTCAAGTGGGCTAAAATCTTGAACATTCACTTACCTTAAATTTGAAAGATCCTTTTATCATCTTTGGTGACAAACTATTTCCTAAACTACCTAAAGCCCTAGTTCACAAAGGTTCAAGAAAAAAACTGAAAGTGATCTTCAAAAAGACAAGTGACAGGCAGAAGGATTTTTGTTGTGATTTCCCCTTTCACATCCAAAACTGAACCTGAATTTAGGTGTCATCTGAAATCTACAGCAAAATGACAACCACAGGATAAGCAGTACTAATTCCAGTGCCCCACGGGGGTCCACTCCCCATGAATATCTAAGCTCATGTCTACAAAACACTCTTTAAAAATACTTCAAAACAGGGTCCCTAACCTTTTCAGTTCTAAGAAGTTCTGAAACGGGCAACAGGAATCCACAGATCCCCTGTACGTGTATGCAGACATTTTGGTGCATTTGTAAGCACATGGGCAATTTTCTAAAGTGTACAACGCCATCACTTTCACCAGATTCACAAAGGTATCCATGACCTAAAAATGATCATGGATTTTCTAGTTAGGTGGTAACTCCACATAGAGATATCGACATAACTAAAATTATGTAGTAGTGCAAGAAGGCACTTGCGTGAGTGCATAGCTTCCCACTGTGGCAGAAGCCTGAGATAACTCTGACCTCCAACTCAGAATTTTCAAGAACGCTCACATAACTTACGGGCTGAAAGAAAAATATCAGGACTGGAAATTCAGATAAAAATAAAAGATTTCTCATGATATTTGATTAACCATTTACTTTCTGTATATAAGGTACAATTGTAATATTTTATAACTAATAAGAAAACAGATCTAGAATTCACCTAATAATAGTGGCAGATGTACATTCTTATATTTCACTCTTACAACGCCTGCTCTATGTCCTTAGAAAATAAGAACATCAGAAGCTGGTCTTGTCTGGGAGTCCTAGCCCAGAGAAACGTCAGCTGTTACATATATATGGCCTTGTATACAGCGTTTTATATTGTGCTTATAACCTAAATACAAACTAAAAAATATTTACATTATATCCCCATACCAGTATTTTTACATTGCAGATTGCAATCTATTAATGAATTTTAAGACCAATTTAAAAGGCTATAAGCAAAAAATTAAAGCAAAAGACAAATTTTTAAAAAATAGAATAATTTTTTAAAGAATAGAAACCAACCATCCATAACATGCAGTAAGGTGAAGTAAGTATTGCTTTATGAAGCTTATGGTTCAGTTGTTGAATAGTTAACAGGTTGCCTTGAAATATACCTCTTAAAAAATATGAACTATTTTCTACTACAATTGCACTACTTTTTATATACATTAATTACTGTCCTATGAGCCTTTTCTTCCTGGCTGCAAAGAAATGCTCAATGCAACTTATGCCCTGTCATTACTTGAATCTCAAAATCTAAAACTCCATGTTTCACAGAGATCTTTCAGTATGATGCGTAGCAGGTCATGGTGTTCAGTCCTTTGGCCCTTTGGACTGAATAGAGAAGGAAACCGCATCAGCTATTTATGCCTGAACTTGGTGAGCTATTAAGGACTAAAGGGAATTGCTACTTAAAAATATTTAAAAAAAAACTTAATGAGCTCGGAGCTGTGGCTCATGCTGGTAATCCTAGCACTCTGGGAGGCCAAGGTGGGTAGACTGCCTGAGCAAGAGTGAGACCCCATTTCTAAAAATAGGCACTGTGGCGGAAGCCTGTAGTCCCAGCTACCTGGGAGGCTGAGGCAAGAGAATTGCTTGAGCTTAGGAGTTTGAGGTTGCTGTGAGCTATGATGATACAGAAAACTACTGAGGGAGACAAATAAAACTGTGCCTCAAAAAAAAAAAAAAAAATCCTTGAGTTTCATAGAACAGATATCAGACTGAGAAATGTTAAAAAGGTCAACTGGAACTCATCTCTAACTATATGAACTCATAAACTACACACATAAGTTGTTCAACTTACCTTTTATAAGAAAAACAACTTACATGAAGAATAGTACTTGCAGACTTGTTTAACAATTAGTTTAAAGAATTACGTATGAAGAAACCCACTCCATATAAAATTATTTTATATACTTCATATAAAAATACTTAGGCACTGGTAATACAAAAAGATCTTAAAACACAATGATAAATAAAAATTACCTTTTAACCTAACACTTAGTAAATCAAGTAAAAGTATAGATACTTTCTGCACGTAATTTTCCAAGGAAGTATCTGATTTAGTTATAAAGAACTATGTTCCAATCACACACATTACATATCCATCACAATTACCTTAAATAAAGTAGCTGTTTCTGGAATGATTCCTCTAATTTTCACCTGAGGTTCTAAAGGCAATGGAATAAGTTCCACATCTGATAAATTCATCTTCTCATTATCTCCAAGCAATGCCTGTAGTCTCTCATTCTAGAAGAATAAATCAGAAAAGATTAATTAGGTTAAAATGGAAGAGTAGTTTCTAAAACATACAGAAAAGACATAAAAAATGATTCTATTAACTTGAAAACATTTACAAAGCACCAAACAAATATAAAGGAGATAGTGCCTATGTGAGAGATGGAACACACAAATAATCCACCTAACGACAGCAGTAGCATGCTTTAAAAGGAGCAATCCCTGGAATATGAAAGGCTGGACTGTCACAGAAAGGATGGAGAATACATTTCACTTGCTACAGCTAGGGAAGAATCAGTAATATATTCAAGTTGGACCTAAAAATTCAACTTCTCCTTCCCAAGGATTTGTGAAGCCACAGAGAGAAACTGTAATTTCATGTGAAGCTTAATTTTGCATGACCAAATATTAAGCAAGAATTTTATTATGCTGTCCCAGTCCACTTTTTGAGTTTAAAAAGGAAATTTAATTCACTTGCAGGAACTTGGACCCTACTTTCTACCTTTCATTGAGTCTGTGTGATCAAACTTTTCCTGAGATATTATCGTCATTCATTTTCTTTAGCTCATATATACACTGCATTAAACTAACATTTCAGAAAGTAATAAATTTAAGTCAGGGTGAAACAGCTTCATTATTTAGCAACATCTATCCTGTTTATGTGAAGCTCTTCTACTCAATTTTGAAAGAACAATATCTTTTAAAAGCTAAGAGCCTTGCATTCCTTAGGTAAGTGAACTTGTTTATTTCAAGAGGAAAACTTCACTTGCCCATCCCAGCAGTGCAAGGCACTTCAGCTGTAATGATACCATGAAGCAGAAGTGCTTGATGTTGCTGTGTATGCATCAGAGCAAAGAATTCTGGAATTACAGAGATAGACGTTAAGAAAACCATGTTTCCACTCAGTGCCTGTAGCTTGGTGGCTAGGATGCCAGCCACATACGCTGGAGCCGGCAGGTTCAAATCCAGCCTGGGCCTGCCAAACAACAGTGACAACTACAACCAAAAAAATAAAATAGCCAGGCATTATGGTGAGCACCTGTAGTCCCATCTACTTGGGAGGGTGATGCAAGAAAATCTCTTAAAGCCAAGAG